TGTGGGAGCTCCAAATTACTTCCCCCAGCTCTTTTCCATCTTAGCCTGCTGCCAGCTACTATCATTACCTTTTATTGTTCAGTGCTGTGTGCTAGCTGATGCTCCATGTGGTCAGTGCTCTGTGCTACCTGGTCAGTGCTCTGTGCTAACTGGTCAGTGTTCTGTGCTACCTGGTCAGTGCTCTGTGCTACCTGGTCAGTGCTCTGTGCTACCTGGTCAGTGCTCTGTGCTAACTGGTCAGTGCTCTGTGTTAACTGGCTGTTGCTCTGTTAACTTGTCAATGCTCTGTGTTAACTTTTAAAAGTTTCTATTCTCAATTACTATAAAAATACAAAATAAAGATCAATGAACTAGGCAGTATGGCTCATACCTACAATCCCACCTCTGGGGAACCTAAGGCAGGATGCTGGCCACAAGTTCAAAGCCAGCCTGGGCTATAGTTTCAGGCCAGTCTCTGGTCTACAGAATGATATCTTATTTCAAAATAATAATCTAATAATAATAATAATGTTCATGAAAAACTGTGAAAGTCTTTCATGTTATTAGAACTATCCATCTGCCCATCTACCCATCTACCTGTAATGTATAAAGTGGCCACCTGTCCAAACAGAGGAAGCATGCTCCCATTACTGATGGGCCCACTGCAGACCAAGGAGAGGAGCCAGGTTAGCACCGGGGCACGGGGCAACATGAGGATGGGTGTTGTTGTGTGAAGCTCCACAGCTCCTTAGCAAGCCAGGGACCGGCTTCTGTTGCTTCCAGGCACATCTGTTCAGTGGAGGTAGTCAGGACCCTGGCTCACAGGCCAAGTGCATTTTGATGAGAGCCCACCCTTTTCAGATAACAGGAAGGATCCTACCCTCCCATTCCATGGCCCCCAGTATTCATGGGAGATCTGGTTCTCAGCCTTGGTCCGAGTATATACATGCACTGCCTCGCAAGTAGCCCTGGGTATGAAGTGGGGTTACTGGTCCAGATTAAGCCCCAGGGAGACAGCCAGGGCTATTTACTGATAAGTGCCTGCTCCCAGTGAGGGCCCAAGGATGTCTGGCAGGATTGGCGGGGTGTGTGTGTGTGTGTGTGTGTGTGTGTGTGTGTGTGTGCGCCATGTACATCTGTATCTCACAATTGCAGAGCACATTCCATCATAAGATGTTCAGGGGCTTACTGTGGGAATCTGGATTGCCCACTGGCTTCTCTCTGCCAACATGTGTCTGTGGACCAGTTAAACACTCTGTGAGCCTTGGTGTGTATGCAGAATGCTTTGTGAACAGACGTGCTACACAAATCCTGGGTGATCATCTCCTGAACCACAGCATACCATATAACAACTATGGGTTTTTTAGGTAATTGTCTAAGGATCCAAAGTAATAATATAATTTAAGCCCATTGTGTGTACGCAGGTCATTACAGATGTTTGCCTTGCTGTAATTGGTGGGTCTGGTGATTCGTGTTCACGAAAAGCAAATGCTAGGGTCATGACTGAGAGAAATGATTTCATGTCAGTTACCTAATGGGGAGGCCTCCAGCCACTCTGCCTCTGCTTTCTGTGGTCACCTTGCAAGGATCTGTCTTCAACCCAGACCACAGTGGAAGGCAGAGTTAGGGAGCCTAGCAACAGACACCAGGGAAACAGTGAACTGGGTTTGGGTGGGGCCCCAGACTGGCTCACTTGGTGGCTGTGCTAGTGAGCTGGGATCCTGGTGGTTCTCCAACAAACACAGGCCACTGTATTTACCTTTTGCTCCTGTCTCTAGAGTGCCTTTAAAATTGGGCTCCCAGGCACGATCTTGTGCACCCGAGAATAATGTTGAGACTGTGGTCACTTGAAGGTCCTCTTGAAGAGACAGTCATTTGGGAGTTCAACTAGTGTATTCTGATCAGGATAGGCAGATTCAAAAGCTGCTGGCCACTTGGAACCCTGAGACCCCCATTTCCTAAAGCAAGCCCAGAAGCAGGCTTTAGTTCTTCTAAGAGACAGACGAAGACATATGCCCATCACAAGCAAGGTAGAGACCGACCTTTCCCAAAGCCCACTGCACACTCACAGAGAGACCCTGGGCTTAAATAGTGACAGCAGGTCAAATCTGTGAGCCTAAAGGTCGATAAGTGCCTGGCAGTGTAGAGGGGGTTGGAACTATGGAATCAGCTTATTTAGAAGTGGTCATCTATTGGTCAGCCTTATCAGAAGGAGAAAATTGAATTGTGCCTCACAGCTCACTGTTCATTATATAAAGATTTGGACCCCATTAGGAGTGGAAGCACACACCTGTATTCCCAGTACTCAGGAGTGGAAGCAAGAGGATCCAGAGTTTGAGGCCAGCCTCAGTTATAGGAGACCATCTTAAAAAAAAAAAAAAGAAAAAAGACCCTGGACCCCACCACACTGACAGTCCAGTGGACAGGGCTCCTGTCAGTGCCACTCACACTTTCAAAAGTGCTCCTGCTTGTCTGATGCATTCACATGCGTTGATGGTTTTAGTGTTGTTTTCTTCAAGGCAAAGGATGTTGTATTCTCTGGCAAGTGCCGTCTAGAGTTGTGTTGGGGTGAAAAATGTATGTAGTATACACTCCCTACTACAGACCTCCACTTTTCATGCCTATGCCCCTCACCTTCCAACGGTGTACAGGTTCCAATCACACTCACCACCCACACCGTAACCTTGTTAAGGGTTAAAATACAGAGAGAGGCTAGTAGGGGCTCCAAGGAGGCACCTCCAAGAGGTACTGGCATCCAAATTAATGGAAGGTAACTCTAGGCTTTTACACCTTATTAGAAAGTAGATTGATTTACCTTGCTTTTCTGAGACGATAAAGCCCTAAACTGGATATATAGTCAAGGATGACTTTGAACTCCCAGTCCTCTGCCTCCACCTCCTAGTGCTGGGTTTACAGGTATGCACCCCCATGCTAGGCCCTAGAATTTAGATTGAAATGTGGACACACGTTTAAACGGGGAGTATAGCACTCACCATACTTCCGAGCCTGGGAACTGCCCAGATCAGCCTCCAAGCAGGAAGGTCAGCAGATGGCTTTAACAAGCTGCCAGTCAGCAGAATGCTGGTAGAGTCCTTTGCTCGTGAGCTCAGGATTCTGCGGTGACTGCTTCCTAGTCCCTGACAGGCACCCCACCACCCCGCTCCCTCACAGCTTTTTTGAGAGCAGACTTGCCCTTCCTGGGCTGCCCCATCTCTCTGGCTCACCCCAGTTCTCAGCCATTTTAACCTATGGTCCAGCCTCCTTCCTGCTTGTGAAGGTGGCAGCCTGGGTGTCCTGCTGTGTCTGCAGGTGTGGGAGGAGGAACCAAGAGGCAGCAAGGACCGTGTCCTTTGACTTTTGCTGAGCAGCCCTGGCAGAGGCCATCTTAGTGGGCTTGTTAGAAGCCAGCTGGCACCCAGGGAAAATGCACACTATACCAGTCACAGCCATCTTCAGGCACTGCCTGGGACAGGCAGAGCAAACAAAGCCTGCTCCTGGGCTTGCTTTAGGAGGTGGGGGTCTCAGGGTTCCAAGTGGCCAGCAGCTTTTGAATCTCCCTATCCTGATCAGAATACACTAGTTGAACTCCCAAATGACTGTCTCTTCAACTGGCCTCTGTTCTCACCTGTGAGGTTAGCGCTAGCAGAATTGTTCCCTGTGATAAATTCCACAAACCTCATAGCTGCTCTGTCATTTAAATACTATTCTGTCCAGTTAATTGAACTTTGTAGAGCCAAGAACTCTAAACCAGCAGGTATCAAGTGTTTCTTCATTCCAGTAGGAACCAGTTGGGATCCTCCACACCAAAGCTTTGTGCCTGTTTAGGGCTCTCCCAGAATGCTCCCACAACTGTGCCTGGGCCTTTGCCCAGCCTTCCCTGCAGAACCCATAACCCCAAGCCCGTGTCAGGATGCACAATCCAGTCCACACGCAGATGGGAGTGCACACTGCTGCTCAAACTGCTACCAGAGGCGGGTGAGGGGGGCCGAGAACCGAGGGCTGTAGAATCAGATGTGACCCTGGCCTCTCCAGGATCTTTCTGGAGTCACCTGAGCAGAGGACCAGGCCAGGCTAGCCTAACTGCCTTTCCTTCGTGGCTCGAAGGCCCTTCTAGGGCACGGGGAGCGGGGAGCCAGGTTCTGGTCTGGACCTGGAGTGGAGCAGCAGGAGCACGGGGGCGGGGGTGGGGGGTTACGCGGCCCAGGCAGACTTGGGAGAAAATCTTGCACCGTCTTTCTTGCCTGTCTTCTAGCTCCACGAGGTCGGGGTGCGCCGCCTGCAGGACTTTTATGTGACATCACCGGCGGGGGGGTGGGGGGAGTCCCGCTTAGTGGCCGTGGAGTGCGTGTGTGGGACCAGGGTGACCATTCCACGTGGAGACCGGTTCCTCTCTGCGCGGCGCCGAACCCTGGACTTGGGGCTCCAAACCCTGGATCCGCATGCGGCTGTCACCCCGGTGCTGCGGCGTGGCCAAGGGGCACGCGGTCAGTTGTGCGCCGGGGGCCTGGAGGCGAGGACAAGGCGGGCAGGTGCCGCTGCGCCCGGCGTAGGCTCGCGCTGCAGGTCCGGGTCGCTCCCTCCCAAATCCAGGCGTGTCCTCCCGGAACAGGGCGGGGCCCCCGGGGGTCTCGTCCCTCTTTCCGGTGAGCCCGAGGGACGGGGTGGTGATAGAAGGCCGAGCAGCCGGCTGGGCGTGCAAGAGGAGGGAGGGAGGACCCGGAAGGTCTGGGGTGGGGCGCCGGGGCGGGCCCTCGGGGGAGGAGCAGGGGAGGGCCACGTGGGTCGGGGGCGTAGGGCCCCAGGGTGGGTGGAGCCGGGGGGCGAGGTGGGACTTAATGGAAAGGGCGCAGGGGATGGGAAGGTCCCGGCGGGTGACGCCTAGGACTGAGGGGCGGGGTGTGGCCACGTGGGCGGGACGTGGGACGTGGGCGGGTCCCGGGTAGGTGGGGCGCGGGGCGGGGCCTTCGTGGGTGGTGCTCGGGGGCGGGACTGTATGGGTGGGGCTGGAGCCGTGGGCGGGACGGGGGGGGGGCGTTGATCGCCCCGGGCTCCGCTCCTGCCCTTTCCGCCCCAGGCCCGCAGCCACCTGCACCCCGCCCTCCGGCCGCGCCCCAGCCCTGGAACCACCGAGCTGGTCTGGGCTTAGGGAGCGCCAGGGGTTCGCAGTGAGGCAGTGAGTACTGGGTCTCCGTGGACACAGTAGTCTTAATGTGGCCGCGCTGAGAGCCCGCCGCCTGCGGACAGGGGAGCGGGGCTGCGGCGCGTCCTCGCGGGTGGAAAGTTGGTCTACACTCCGGCAACATGACCAGCCCAGCGGGCGCGCAGAACAAGGAAATAGACTGTCTGAGTCCAGAAGCCCAGAGACTGGTAAGAGGAGGACGCCTTTCAGACGGCTGTGCCCTTCGCCCTAGGTCCCGCGTGGGAGGGCCGGTGCGCGCCACTCGGACCACTGGTTGAAAGTCCCGATGAGGACGCGCGGATTGGGCAGGATCTGCTCTGGGGTCAGGTGGTTGGCTGAGTATGCGATGTCTGCTTGTTGCCTGCAGAGCTGCACATTTTACCTCCGTTTGCCCCTTCCAAGGACGGAAAGGAGCGTGGTCTCTCTCTCCGCCCTGGTGTTGGCCTCCTAGGAGGCTCTGTCTGTCTAGCTGGCTGGCTCTGGCCAGGGTCCATCCCAGGTCTGAGATCTGCACCTGGTGTAGAGTTTCACAAGGAGCTACAGGGGCTTGGTGTCTTACAAAACACAGCATCTGAGAGTTGGGCCCTCACTCTAAGGAAGCACCACCAAGACTGGAGTGGTTTGGAGTCTTTCCAGCCCTTAACCCTGGGGCAACCTCCCTCAAGGACCCCAGACTCCAGATCTAGTTTGGCTGGTGTTCAGAGGTCTCTGGGGTCTGGACAGAAGCCTAACACATGTTACAGTTACTGCGTTCAATATGTGCAACCCTGGATGGAGGATTATTTTATTTAGCTTTAAAATTGGGCAGCAGGAATCGAGGGGAGGTTGGTTATTACACATTTGTATGTAGCTCATAACCAGTTGTGTTTGGGAGGCTGGGAGTTGGGATGAGGTCTGACTATGTAGTCCAGACTGGCCTTCAACTCAGGATCTTCCTCTGTCAGCCTTTCCAGTGCTGGGATAACAAACAGGTCTGCACCGCCCTCCCTACCTGCTCCTGTGGTTGCTTTTGTGAGAATATTTAAAGGTCAAAGGCACGCCTTGAACAAATGTGTATTTTATGCAAAAAGGGAGGCTCAAAGGGTCTGCTTTATCAGAGTTTTGTGAGACCTTTATAAAGGTGTGAGTCCCAGTCACTCTGTCACCAGGTAGGAACTAATCCTTTACTGGGTGTTTGTGGGGCAGTCAAGCCGGGACTGCTCTGACAGGGGAGACACTGATTCCCATGACAGACTTGAAAAGTAAGTTCCTTACTGAGTACTTTTGTTGTTTTAATGTGCTTCTTCTATGACCTCACTTAAAGTTTTGGCAGTAAGTCAGACTGTTGGAGCTGGCCTCTAACCTGTAGGGCCCAGGGAACCTGTGAGGCCACCCTGGAACCTCCTTCAGGGGACAGTCTTGAGAGCAAGGAGGTAGAAAAGCTCCTGAGACTCTGGTGTGCAGAGCAGACCAGACACACCATAGAAGGCCAGAATGGGGAGGAAGTCTGCCCTGGGCCTGTTGTAGCACTCAAGAACTAAGTGCTTGAGTCCTGGGGAGAGGAAGGCATAAACACTGAGAACCAAGTGTGAGGAAGGCAGGGACAGGCCAGAAGGGAGGAAGTCACACACCTGAACTCTGAGGCACTGGCCACAGTCTCTGTAGTCAGCACTAGGAACCTCCCTGGGACCGAGGCAGGATACTGCCAAGGCAGTAAGAGGCTGGAACCAGGTCCCTTTTGGAGTGCTTGTTGGGCCAAGGCCCTAGTTCCAGAATCTGGGAAACCCGGAGAACCGAAGTGTGTGTGTGTGTGTGTGTGTGTGTGTTTTATATGTAAAATCATGGCAGAATTCATTTAGCAGTGAGCCCTGCCCTCACCCAGAGGAGGCTATTTTTAGTCTTCCTTTCTCAATATGAACATACATGTCCCTGCAGCCTCTCCATGTCTTAGGCTAAGGGCTGCTACTGTAGCTCTTAACAGGATGTGTGGTATGTGCCTCCATTTACCTTCTGCAGTCCCACAATGCTGGATTTGGAAAGTATTTGGTCCCAGAAGTTTCTAGTAGGAAATTATGACTCTTTAAGAGTATTTACAAAAGTAAACACTGTGTTAAAGAAGAACGTGGGCAACAGAAGATGGGGTCTCTGTTGGTGAAGTTATGGTCTGGCTGGGAAGGAAGTGCACAGGGGTATGGCAATGGTGTGTGTGTTAGAAGGGGGGCTGCCCAGCTGCCCAGACCCTAGGGCTTGGGTCTATACCTGGACCCCAGTGGTGACCCTTCAGAATGGCCTGTGCTATTTGTTCTGCAGTTAGTCTCCCTGGCTCCTAGGAGCAGGGTTCTCCAGTGGACAGGAGCCGGGACACAGGTATGAGGGGACCAGGTGGGGAGGAGAAAGCAGGTGGAGTGAACAGAAGACAAGATCTGAGCTGGGCGCAGTGGCAGAGGCCTGTAAGCCTCCAACTCCAACATCGAATTGCAGATCTCGAGTTGCAAGCCAGCCTGGGCTACATAGCAAGACCCTGTTTGAAAAAACAAACAGAGGCTGAGGATAGAACTCATTGGTACAGTGCTTGCCTGGCCTGAGTTTTATCCTCAGCAACAGAAAAGAAAAGGGAGGGTAAAGCAGGGTTGGAGCGGGAGCTTGTGAGAAGTTGAGGGTCGGCTTGGGGAAATGGGCGTTAACCTCAGTAACTCCCGTGTTGCTTAGCTTGTCATCTCTGCTCCCTTTCCACACAGATGGTACTTGCCCTGTAAGGGGCCAGTGCGTACCAGGGCAAGGCTTCAGGGAGGAGGGTAGAAGGTGACCCTGCCAGGCATGTCCAATCCTCAGGCCACATGCAGCCCAGGATAGCTGATAGCTGTGAATGATACCCAACATGAAATCATACTTAAAACATTAGATTTTTTTTTTCAGTGGCAGGGGAGCATAATTCAGTTGCACAGTTCTTAAAGTTCTCAATTGAAACTTTGTAGATGACACTGTGTCATAGAATAACCCCTCTCCCGGGATCCTGTGTCCCCAGGTCTTGGACACGGATTATTGACTGATATTTTAAATGTACCATCATTTCTCCCAAGTAGTTAATATAAAAACAGTAAGTTCTTTTCAGTTTCAACTCTGAGGCAATCTATTATTTCAAAAAGTTGGTATGCAGCCAGGCATGGTGGTACACTCTTTTAATCCCAACACTCTGGAGGCAGGGGCAGGCAAATCTCTTTGAGTTCAAGGCCAGCCTAATGTACATTGCTAGTTCTAGGCCAGCTGGGGCTATAGGAGACCCTGTCTCAAAAGTTGGTATGAATACATAAACAAATTTGAACATTTACTCCCCCCTGCCCAACTTACTACTCTCTCCGTGTGTGTGTGTGTGTGTGTGTGTGTGTGTGTGTGTGTATGTGTGTGTTTCCGTCCTGGGCATCAAACCCAAGGGCTCTCACATGGCAAGCAGTTGCTCTAACCACTGAGCTGCATTGCCAACCCCAAATCCTTAGCCGTGTTGGTTTGGGCTGCCCCCTTGGTCTGGTGGTTTAAGACTGTGATTCGTCGATAGGCATTTCTTTCCTTTATTGGCAGTAGGACTTTGGCCTTGTGTTAATGGTTCCCATTTTGCTATTTTGGGTTTAAAAGTGCCTCTCAGCCACCCCCACAGACAAGAAACACTTGTGCTTGGGGCTTTGTGTGCTGCTTGGCTGGGGAAGCTGGCCTGCAAGTCCTGCAGCAGCAAGGGTCAGTCACCTGCTCCCGAGCACTGGCCACAGCACAGATCAGCCCCCCATCTCTGCTGGGGGCCAGGCTCATCCCAGGTCAGAGGTCAGAGCCACCACACTACTCCTTTATCAGAAAGCAATGCCTGAGCCCAAACCTCTCAGTACAGAAGCTCCACGAAACCCACGGCATCACTGACAGCCACAAGCAAAGCAGGAAACAGGTCTCACTTGTAAAAGCATCTACCCGGGCAACAATGGAGCTAATTTCCTTTTTGAGACAGGGTCTCCCTGTAGCCCCAGCTGGCCTGGAACTCACCACATGGACCAGGCTGGCCTCGATCTCACAGAGATCTCCTGCCTCTGGTGGGATTAAAGGCGTGCGCCACCACACCCGGCCTAAATTTCCCTTTTTCTTTAGGCTGATGTGTGTTCGGCCTGAACTACCGTCACATAGCGGAAGCCTTTTGCAAATTACATCAAAACCTGAGGTCCCAGCCACCACCTACCCAAGTGAGCTAGTGAGTGCAGGAAATCAGTTTATTTATAGCGGCACCACTTTTCCTCAGCACAGCTGATTGGAGTTTAATCTGGTTAGAGTGAGGTTCTTACCCAGCCTGGCAGAACCCAGTCCGGGCCTTGGTACCACGTGCTTGCTCCTCAAAAGGCAATGTTCAAGAGGAATGAATATCTTACCCCTGAAAAATCAGGCTGTGACTCAGCACAGGATTGTTTATGACCCGTTACTCAGATGCCGTGTTTCCAAAATTCCCCTCCATTGAAGAGTAACTGGGAGGTCAGAGGCTATACTGCACAGATGGAGGAGGAAGGGAGGGACTTCATCGCCTTGGCAGCTTTCCTGGAGGCTGCTCAATTATGATTTATTCCTTAAAGAAAGAAGCTTACTTTCATAAAATAGACTTATTAGAACTTTCATTATTTGGAATAGCCAAGTATAGTTAATTTGCTTCTTCCTCTCAAATTAAGCCAAATGTTGTTGAGAATATGTCTAAGAATTAATAATTCAAAATTGCAGAGTGATTGCAGATCACAGTTACAGTCACCTGCCCCCAGGCCAAGTTCTAGAACAACCAATAAAGGCAGAGGCAGCAACAAAACTGAGCCTTACCCACCCAGTGTGCTTGCCGAGATGTTCCTCCTTGATCCTGTAACTTGACAGTTTTAAGACATAGTTTTCTCTTGAATCTAAGTTGCCACCAGTTTACAGTAGAGAAGTAATGTGCCCTAAGTTACTGTAAAGAGGGTTTGCTTTTTAATTTAGCCACAACATACCTGTGTATGTGCATAAATATGTACATGTGTGCCATGGCTCCTGAGTGGAGAGTAGAGGACAACTTTGTAGGGTCAGTCTCCCATTCGTAGGTTCTGTGGATGGAACTCAGGTCACCAGGCTTGCGTGACTAGTGTCTTTGCCCACTGAGCCATCTTGCTGGCCCAGGCTTTTTTGGACACAGATTTTTTACTGTGTGGCAGGCTGACTT